CATGATCTTTACTTAATATCCTAATGATTTTTGGCATAAAAGAAAAATTGATAATTTTGACCCATACAATGTATTGTTGGCTATTGCTACAAATATACCCCAGCGACTTAAGACTGCTTTTGTGCTCCAGGGTCACATATGTACTGTATATGTTTACACTGACCACACACACACACATATACATAATATATGTATGTATGTGTATGTGTGTCATCATGCTGTTTTAGTATTATATATATATATATATATATATACAGTATATATATATAAAAAAAAACTTACAAAAGCACATAAAATTACTAAAACTTAACTAAAATTAAAATTAACTTGAAAGTATAATATAAAAGCTATTACTATAATTAAAATATTCTATAATATAAAATATAACAAAAAAAAAGCACAAACAAAAACAAAAAACCTTGCTACGTGTACTGCATTAAACTAATCAGGACTTGTCACAACACTTACATATTGTTGCTTAATTTAACATTGCCTTTCAAGGGAACTTCGAACTGCGTCCTCTAGGGGTCGCTATGGGGAACACCTCGTCGTGACCCGTGTCTGAAGCATACATTGACAAAACACCAACAACACGTTGGCCGGCCCATGACATCACTACCGGTGCGATTATAGTATAAATAGGTGCCGGGAGAACATGTCATTCACTTCTTCGTCTTCACTGACCGTTTTGTTTGAAGCGTGCAATTTCCGTGGTAAGAGTGATCTATATTCCTATCGTTATGGCGAGCACTAGCAAAGCGTTTAGAGGGTGTGTGCATCCGCGTCGTCGTTATTTGACACCTGATGACACACACAATCTCTGCGTTGTTTGTTTGGGCAAAAAGCACACATGCGATGTCCTTGAGGGGGCAATCCGCGTTCATTGTGAGCGTATTTTAATGAAAAGCTCCACTCTTGTTTGTCTCTCTTTTCGAGGAAAGGGGGGCAGTCATCTGCTACCCGCGGCTCAGGACCCACCGCTGCTGAGGCACGGAGGAGGATGGGCTCGTGGGGATCGCAGGTGGATCCGGCTGATGAGTTTAAAAAGGGGTTTTCCCTTTCGCGCTCGTCGACTGTGGACGAGAGGAAGCTGCTGGAGGATGATGTTATTTCTTTAACATCATTTGATCCGGGGGCCGGTGCTCTGCTGGGTTCGGCCCGGTAAGAGCAGGATATGTCTGAGGACGGCGAAGAAGCTGAGGCTGAGCCTTCCTAATCCTCCTGCTCTGCGTATGGTGAGTTTTGAGCGTTATCTTTCTTACGCATTCATCGATTCTAGCATACGAGTTATGTCAACATCAAACTGATGCGCGGAAACGACTATGAGAGGATGCCCCTGTAAAAAAGACGACTGGCTAGCTATCTTTCTATGGGTGAGACGTCCTCTCTTAAAACTCCCTCCTTGCCATCTCGCTTAGATGGCAGGGCATACGCAGCAGCAGGTCAGGCTGTTGCTTCGTTGCGCACAATGCGGTGCTCCAGGCATATTAGGCTGACCTGCTGGAAGACCTGGATAAAGGCCTGATGAGGTAGCTGAGTTTCGGCGCACCACAGATCTCACTCTCTGTGCTACTAAACAACTGATAACAGCTCTCAGTGATATGTGTCGGGTCCCCGCTATAATAGCAGCAACATTCACAAATGTTTACAGAACAAGCGGGAACCCAGTGTGCCTGTAGTTTTCTCTATTTCTGTTTTATCACGTGATAGAAAGTCTAAGGCCTTCTTAAGCCGTACGGCTGACTTATCTAATCTGCGGCCTGTTATGCATCAAACTAATATTGCTGTTGAGACAAAATGCAATGCCATCAAGTTAGCATTTTTAAACATTCGCTCACTAAAAAATAAATCATTTCTAATCAATGACTTAATAACCAAAACAACCTGGCCTATAATCGTTTTCTTAAATTCATTTTAAACCTCTTAAATAAAATTTTTTTTAAATAATTTTCAAAGTTTTTAAATTCATTGTTTTATTGTTGTGATTATTGTTTTTATTTTATTTTATGTAAAGCACTTTGAATTACCATTGTGTATGAAATGTGCTATACAAATAAACTTGCCTTGCCTTGCCTTGCCTAAGCATGGCAGCTATAGTAGGTATTGAGAGACTTCTGTGGGTGAACCTGGGAGATATCGGGATGGAAGAGAGGGGCTTTCTTCTCGATGCGCCGGTTTCGCCTTCTGAATATTTTTGGTTACCTCCGTTGAGATGGTGGTCGAGAAGTTCAGGGAGGCAAAGGCGCACTCAGCGGCCTTCAGTACATCATTTCACGATGGTCCAGGTCTAAGCCCGAACAGCATAGGGGTCCTGGTCCGTCTCGGTCTGAGGATCGGAGATGGCCACAGAAGGCTAGTGTCGCAGCTCGCGCTCCTCCCCCACCGGTGGGTAGGGTTAGAAGGAATCGTGGGTCAAAGGGAGGTAGGCAAGACCTAGGGATGTGATCCAGACAAGGCATCAGCGCTTTTGTCCGGATCAGAGTGATGCTTGAGTATCTACTCGTTTCCTTCGGGGGTCTTACATCTGCTCTTAGCTCCTAATTCCCCTATAACCACCAACTCTCCACCTGACCGAGGTTAGGTAGGAATTTTCCTGCATTTCCGTCTCCTATGCAATGTTTGGTTGGTTCTATGGCTTCATAGTGACCACCTTGCTGATGGTCTGGACTAGAGGCTTCTTTGAGTCGCCTCTTGAACGGGGCTCCGGCGCGGGAACCATGGTGGGTGAGTATGATCCATTCTCTATATATATACTGTGTATATATATATACAGTATATATATATATATATACAGTGGGGCAAAAAAGTATTTAGTCAGCCACCAATTGTGCAAGTTCTCCCACTTAAAAAGATGAGAGAGGCCTGTAATTTTCATCATAGGTATACCTCAACTATGAGAGACAAAATGAGAAAAAAAATCCAGAAAATCACATTGTAGGATTGTTAAAGAATTAATTGGTAAATTCCTCGGGAAAATAAGTATTTGGTCACCTACAAACAAGCAAGATTTCTGGCTCTCACAGACCTGTAACTTCTTATTTAAGAGGCTCCTCTGTCCTCCACTCATTACCTGTATTAATGGCATCTGTTTGAACTCATTATCAGTATAAAAGACACCTGTCCAAAACCTTTTTTTTTTCTCATTTTGTCTCTCATAGTTGAGGTATACCTATGATGAAAATTACAGGCCTCTCTCATCTTTTTAAGTGGGAGAACTTGCACAATTGGTGGCTGACTAAATACTTTTTTGCCCCACTGTATATATATATATATGTATATATGCATATACATATATATGTTTTTAATGTGCTGGTGGTTATGTGTGTATAAACCTTCTATGAGATTTCTTTGCTGAGGCTTCTGCGGGAGCCTTCTTGATCATCAGGCCCCCTGCACGACACTGCAAAAAATTCCTGGATGTCCGGGCTCCAGGATATCCCCTCTTGCTGAGGCATCGAGCGGGAAGTATAGGTGGCATTTGCGAGAACCTTCTTGTGTAATGCTGTCTCAGGCAGTGCTCCCCTCGCCTTAGAGGGTCGTATTTGAGCTTGCCTCTCCCATTTGGCTCAGTACCTCCGGGTATCTGTGATCAGATGCCTGGAAATTGAAATCCATGCTATGGTAAGTGCACACGCTAAGCTCTGTGCACTTTCTGAAACCCACATAGTGGTAAGTGCGCACGTTGAACACTTTGCCCACTTTCTAAAATCCACAGTAGTGGTAACATGTGGATTTTAGTGGAACATGCTGTAGGTCCGAGCCTCCCTCTCGTTTTAGAGCTGGGTGTGTTGGAGAGCTGGGTGTTTACCCTCTCAGCTAGAGATTTACTGCTAGCCATTCCAGCTTTATATCTTAGATCGAGTTGGTGACTCTCAAACATATTGGGTTTGGTATGCACCATTCCATCTATGAGCTGCTCTTTTTAGAGTGCCACGAGAGCCCCCTTAGAACGGTATCCTAAAATCCATGTTATGGTAAGTGTGGACGTGAAGGCTTTGTGCACATTCTAAAATCCACATTGTGGTAAGTTCACACGCTAGTTCTTTGCGTTCTTTTCTAAAATCCTGTATGTTGAGGGCTTCGTGCCCTTTCTTGAGCTGGTTTAAGCCCCGTTCACCTTGGGCACCACTCCACTTAGGTATCCTAGGATACCTACTTTAACAGGTTGTGGCCACTAGAGGTCTGTTGAGACCGTTCCTTTCAGAGCTTATGCAAGAGCAAGCGGTAGCCCCTGTGTGAAAGGCCAAGACTTAGTGTGATACTAGGTTCTTGGTCGTATCCCCTTAAAGGAATCCATTATGATTCCAAGCCTTGAGCTCTACCCCGGGCCCAGGAGTCTGGCCCTAACAGGTAAGTTGGGTATGAAGCCTAGGCCTTTGGCCATAGGGGATAAAGTCATGGGCAGCTGTCTGACGTCCCAGGGGCAACTCACCATGAAAATGGTAAAGTTGGTACTTAGTGGTCACCATGGTTCTAGCCCACACTCCCCTCAGTATGGCGGCGTGGGTATATCGTTCCCCATCGTTCGTGTTGTTGGTGTTTTTTCAATGTATGCTTCAGACACGGGTCAAGACGAGGTGTTCCCCATAGCGACCCCTAAAGGACGCAATGTCTCGTTCCCTACTCAGGGAACCATGGTTAATCAATCATTTTATTTCGGTCCTCACAGACAACTTTTCACAAAATAAATAAATAAATAAATAAACATAATTACCGAAAAAGGTGTAGGC